GTAATTAATTGATTGCTAATGACGTTTCGTCGACTTCTTCGGATCATTTACCCTTTGACTACGGGAGTATCAGTTATGGTACCCGATAGTGAGCTGTGACATCTGTCTAGTTAACTACAGACGCACATAGTTGTATGTACATCAAGATGAGGGAGAGAGAGAATATAGTAGAAGACAATAACAAAGAGAACAAGAGAGACGACCGACTGGCTAGTTCGCTGAACACGTGTTACGGCTAACAATCAGGTATCAGATATGATACTCAGGCAACCAAAGGGTTAATCAAAAATTACAAACATAATAATATGTACACTTACAAATACACTATACAAAACAAAGTGTTATCTGTTTTTCTTTACTAAATCTTTTCATTAAGTCGTCAGCCACGAAAAATACGTTTAGAAAATGACTTTATTGGAATTGCTGCGGATAAAAAAAAGTGAACGGATTAAAGCGTAGCAGCTGTTACTAGTCTTGAAAAATGATTTATATTCTTTTTTAATACTTTTTTTGTCTTAAAATCAAGCAGGTCGTAAGTGGATAACGCATGAAGCATTTATGCACTGTGAAAGTTAGATACTCTAGTGTCGTAGAACTGTAAAAAATATGAAAAATTCATAATTTTAATTGAATTTCCTAGTGCTCTATATATATTGAAAGCAAGCCCGAGGTGCCAGAATGCTCTAATCGGGCAGAGCATGCGTATTTAATGAGATCAGCAAGTGCATATATCCAGCTACTAGCGATAGAACTTATTTTCAAAGTAGCAGAAGTGCACAGATATTTACCTTTTTATACACCTGGGATCTGGGATTTTTTGAGAGTTCATATTTAGTTTTTTGAGATATAAGCGCTATTTTCTATCCTTTAACAGCTGCTACGTTGTCTAATTTGATACATTCTGATAAACTAGCGACATACAATGTGTCGGCGACCTGATGATTTCTTTTTCTGTTTTTTTTCACTTTTTCTTTTTGTATATATACTGGTGATATACAAAACCTGAGTGAATAACTTCGTCCAGTATCGTTATTGTCGTCTTGTTCCGTACCACTGTTACATATAAAGAGAAAAATAGAAAAGAAAAATTTGATGAAGAAAAACAGAAAACGTGTTTTGTTTCGTATAGTAGATTTGTTGGTGTCTCTTTATTTCATTATTTTTGCAAGTTCTGATTAAATGACTTGAAAGAGCTGACATCGGCTAATATAGAACCTATAAACTTTTATAGCCAAATATCTTCTTTTTGTAATTTGGAGAAAAGATTTTTCCCATGTTATCAGCACTAGCATGCGTACATTGTTTCGGTAAAAACGGGAATTTGTAAGTCACTATCACTTATTTTTAGTCATATGATCAAACAAGAAAGAGAACACAATACAAAAAAATTTCTTATTACTATTTCCTTTCTTCCTTTAAAAAGTGTTTAACACATCAGTTCCTTTATATTACAGCGATAATGACCGTTGATAATGACTATCTATCTGACTCAAACACGACTCAAAGTAAACCCTGCTGTTTTTCTTTGCAATTTGTAAACGAGATTCTCTTGCATCTCTGGCATCAAAAATCCGATCGAGAGATTTCGCGAAATAAGGAGGAAAGGGTCACAACTGTCAAATCGCTCTCTCCATTAAACCTAGTGAGTTTGAAATTCTCATGCCAGCTGCCCTTAGGTCTTCAGAGGACCGGTTTTTCTAGAAAACGGGCTTTTCAGAAACTCGACAAAATAACCAAAACCTTTCATAATGAAGCATGTTTGTAGTCCGCAAATTTCTGATTAAAATGGAACATCTACCCCCGCTCAGCAGAACCTTTCTTTGCAAAGTTAAAAGGTGCAGGCAATTCAAACTTTTAGTAAAAATTGTTTTCGCCGTTTTTTTACATCGTTTGATAGAGTTTGAATTGCTGATCACGAAAAACTTCTCTATAGCCTTAGTAAACGCTGTTGAAGTAAATACGAAAAACTTGAAGGGAGTCGTTTTTCTGGAAAAACACAACTTTTTGAGAATGTGCAAAATTCTCTGCTTCGTTCTTTCTTTCAGATTCCGAAAATACTTTTTCCAGATTCAGCATCAAAAACGGAGTATAAACAAGTCATCAGATCGACTCTAACTCCAAAAATATTTTTATGGAGGCGCTTCGAATCATGCCAAGCGTCATATGTATAGGTCGTTTTTGTAAACCTGTCTAGTTTTTCTACGTAAGTGGTGAGAGCACATCTTTCATCTCATTTGAAAAAATGATTTTACTGCTGTGATCGAAAAACGGGAAGGTCATTTTTAAATAAACCGACTATTTTTTATTCAGATCAGCACTGAGCCATATATGATGCTATCATTTTGTAATGAAAACGTTTTCTTGGAAACTTTTTTATCGATAATCGTCAAAAATGGCTTCTGTTGCCTTCTTTTGAAACGCTTCTTCGGTAACCGCTATTTCCATGTCAGAATAGAAGCTCCATTCCTCATCTGTCTCTTCTTCCGTAGTATCATGGATCCTTTTTATTCGTTTTTCACATCCAACTGATAGAAGCATGGGATTGTATTGCCATATTTATACGTTATCAATAAGGTGAAAGAAGAATAAATGAATGTACCCACTATCGACTCGTTTTATCCGCATGTTAGGATGACGAAGAAACAAACAGCGTCAAAGATAAGGACGAGAGAAGCTTGAAGCTTTTTGTTTTCTGAATTATGATTCATAGCTTCTACTTTTTCTATCACGATGTTTTTGGAATCTATGGAAAGCTCACAGTCAGAAAAGATCAGATCCAGACTCAAACGTAATATTCTAAAATCAGCAGTAAAGGACGATGGTCGATAACTGGATCCATGATTAAATTTAACTTAATATCGAATCTTAAAACAAATTCTGAATGATTTCTGTCATAGTGATTAATGCCATTTTATAACTAAAAATTGATTTAATTGAGCTAAAATCGATTTTAGGGTAATTTAGGGACAGACATACTTCCGAGTGAGAGAATTTGTCTTGACTGGAAGTTCAAACTTCAACGAGTCTGCATGATCTGAAAGAAAAGTTTAATGAGAAAAACATTTTTTTGTGTTTGGTATATATCTGTCTGGTGAAAAACAGAACGGTGAGTGTATAAAAACGGTTACCGTGTAGTATTTTTCTGTATCGCGGTCTAATAACCGTCGGTTAACCTTACAGTACGATGATGGCATTCCATCATTCTGTGAAATTTCGGTTTCAATTCCAGCATCGGAAGATAAGGAGCCTTTAACCTAGCTTTAAATGTACAAAAGTTATTGATCAATCTATATTCATTCGAAAGATCATTTCAAAGATTCTTACAATACAGCTAATGCTGCATTATATTGTAGAGTAGGCAATGATTTAAAGCTTTTTGAATACTTTCACAAGAAATAACCCTAACATAATTCAATTTAAATTATGAAAATTAAATTTATTGAAAATGAACGAATTATAGACTAGACCAAAATGAATGCTTAGCGCGATAAGATGCGACTTAAAAATATCATGACTCCTAGTATTCGACCGTCACTACACAATATTGAACCGATATGAGAATGCCAATCTAATGAAATTAAACTCCCACCGAAAGGACGGAAGCAGATCAATTAACTTTGCAGCTGATCAACCGAGTATCTTTTGTGTCGAACCGGAGTTGAGCAACTGAATTATGAGTTTGAGAAAAGAGAAACCTCTAAAAACAACTCCTAAAAAAATTCTTTTCATTCAAAAAACCTGAAAAATAAATAAAAACCCTATATACAAGCCCTGTTCAGACAGGAAAACTCCAAATCGAATAAGCACTTCAAGGAGCAGGAGAAAAAAACAAGCGCGAGTAAGTAAAAGGCGCGTTCGGAGTCATGCTGAAGAAAAATCGTGAGCCCCTGCTTAGTCACGTCGCGACAACAGCTAGTCGTGCTGAATTTTTGATAAAACGCGGGACTCACGGCGCGACTTCGTGAGTCACATCGCGAGAATAAGGACTCACGTCCAAATATTGGGAAAAACATGGGACTCACACAGCGACTGCGGGAGTCACGCCGTGAGTTTTACGAGTGGATTGGAAAAATTCCTTTTCATCGTGATTTTATAGTGATCGCGAAGATCGTGATATTTTTCGTGAGTCCAATAGCGACCGTGTTACGCGTTCACGCCATGACTTTTTTCCGCGACTTTGCCGTGAGAGTCGACCTGGGTGAGAAAGCCCATCGCGTAAAGTACTTATGACTTCAACGCCTAATACCTCAAAAGGCACAGGTTTGCTTTTCGAAGAAAAGCTGTTATCGACGCAAATAAGGTTTAGCAAATGAGTTTATGTAGCATTTAAGGGTGCATACCAAGATAAATCCCGATCAGCCAGTCGCCATTCCTCTGTTTTGCTATTCCTAGAATATATCCATAGTCCCTCCATAGTCCCTCTTTTTCCCTGCCCCGCTACTATTTTGATCCAGAGTAGTTAAAGTGGGAATCAGTCGTTATTTCTCTATTAGGTTAGCGAGATTGTTTAATCTTTATTGCAGAAAATTTTATTTAACGATTTCTTATATTGAAAAATCATTTCTTTTTACACTTTAACTTAAATATATCAGAGATGATATTGTATGTTTCTTGTATGTTTCTTTCTTTTGATGAAAAGACAAGTGTTTTTTATATTAAATTTTAGGTTTTATCGAATGAATGTTTCATAATTATATACGCGAAGAAGATAGTGCTCTGCGTATCTGGATTAATTTATTTTAACCATAACTTTCCTGGTGGTATAAATATATTTATTACGATAGGATCAAATAAAAGAAATAGCAGATGATAATCGAACAGCGGATGATTTGGGAATGATACACAATAATCTAATTGAATATCGTCGGTTAAGAAGATCACCATCGGCTTCAACCCTCAGTTGCACTCTAAGTAAGTTAGTACTTTAACTTGAAATTGAAGAATTGAAGAACAGTTAAATATGTTTGTCAGTTTATCGAATAAATCGAGTTTTTTTAACATTATATACAACTTGTTAAACCAACTATCGAGAACTTGAACGGGCAATGCATCATTGCGTGCTTTTCAAGTTTCATACTTTTCATTATCTTTAACTCGGGTGACCACCTCCTCATAAAACCGTAAAACCAATCTTTACCTGGACCATTATCTGGAATATCTTTCTTTAATTCTGTCATATACCACCAAGCCATTGTACATACATTTGAATTTGATACAGGATGATCATAATCTCGCATTGTTTTTATCACATAAACCAGATGAGACTCTTCTTCTTTACTCAATATTGTTGTGCCACCACGTGCACTAGAGCCGTTGTGTCCTGATAGACGATTGTATAATGTACTAATCAGTACGTTATATTTCACTGATGCTTCATTAATAGTCATTTTATCGTGTTTAATTGATTTAATAGCTTCGCCAATGTCTGCGTTTGAAGAAGTTTGAACTCTTTTTCTTACATAATTACGAACCATTTCAATGCAGACTAATCTGAGATAAATTAATGCGAACAAAATTCAATACATACAATGCTGAGCTAGACTACTATTCTGTTGCTCAATAAGATGAGATGTATATGGCACTGTTCCTTTCGGTGGATTTACTGTACAAATGATATAATCCCAGTCTATGGTCGCTGAAGAGTCGTTTGGCAAAAGCCTTTTCATTTTTCGTAAAGGGCTTTGAGAATTGGCTTTCTAGATGTAGAGGTTTTTCGCGTTCATTTATACTAGAATTCTTGATTCACCCCATGCCTGTCTACGTGTTTCTTGAAACGCCCCACTTGGGGCGAATCAAGAATATTATTTTATTACTCTAGTTTAAACCATCAAATAGATCTCAATCAGTTCCCATCGAACAACTCGGAGTTTGCTTTCAATGTGTTCCTGAGACGATCAGGAGTCCAGTGGTGTGAAAATCTACTGAATTAGTACTAATTATCCCTAAGATAATTGGATTTTACAAAAGTTAAAAAATACGGTTTATTTTAACGAGTGTTCTTGATTCACCCCACTCAGAGCTATATGTTTTCTTGAATCATCCCAAGCGGGGCGAATCAAGAAAAGATGTGGGACGAACCAGTAGTTGCCCCCTGGAAGTCCGATACTTTGAAGCATTTTAAGCCGATTTTTCACAAGTGTATCAATGAGAGTCTTGTCTATATGACTGCCAACGCACGCAAAAAGATCTCTAAGATTAAAAAACGTATTCAACAAATACTGACATGATCGCGAAATGATTCTTGATTCGCGCCATACCACTCTATTCGATAAAATATAAAACTTGTCTTTTCGCATTTATTGTTTCGAAAGAAAAGATATTCTTTGCGCACGGAATATGAGTATGCAGAAACAAAAACGATCAAAACGAACCTGGATCAAAAGAAAGAAACGTACAAGCGTCATCTTTGATGTATTTAAGTTAAAGTGTAAAAAGAAACGATTTTTCAATATAAGAAATCGTTAAATAAAATTTTCTGCAAAAAGATTAAACAATCTCGCTAACCTAATAGAGGAATAAGGACTGCTCGGAATAGGGGAATACCCTAGGAATAGTGGAATTAAGGAACAGCAGGATAAGGGAGTAGAGGAATGACGACCCACCGATCGGATTGCATTTTGCTGTGCTCCTTAAGAGAAAAGCTTTTTGAGCGATACTGTTTGGAGCACAGTATTATGTAAAATGAACAACTTGACTAACTGATTTTTTCTTTCTTCAACGTTTTTCCCTGTTATATCTATCAGTCGAACATTGATGCTCTATTAATTGGTGAACAGTTATGTATAATAATAATTAATGAACTGGTAAATTTATACAAGTTTGTGTCTAAAATGATGCTAATATGTCATATTATACACTGTTTATAAACACTAAACTCAATATCCTGATAAATGAATTGACAAGTGAATTGAATCATGTAAAAGTTTCGAGTATTGCACTTCCGAGAAGAACAAATTTACAGCGATTTATATCCATTCTTCGTCTGATTCTCAACGTGTACGATTCTAGTTATTTCTGGTGTGCCAGAGTGTCGAGTTATTTTGCCCACAGATGAATAGACATTTCGACGAACACGTAGGATTTCTTTTATTTAATTCTAACGTATATTCATTTGCTAATATATAAAAAGTATATCACAATTGGGACGGTATGCATCATTTTTAAAAATCATGCTATTCTGTTCAGATCTTTTCTTCTGTTCAAGCTGCCGATGTAACGACGTTGCCTATCACGAAAAGGAGTCAACAATCTACTTTTTGTACTCTGCAAGAGCATAAAAATGATTTTTATACAAGTAGTTGTAGCGTTTCTTATTACTACTCTTCCTTTTTTCTATCAGATTCAATATACGATCGTTTCTAGGGGCATTTACCAGTATGATTACGACTGCAATTAAAGACGAGCTTTTCATGAAATTTAATATCTGTCAGATATTCTACTTTAGTTAACGATACTTCAATCTTTATTCAGTCTTTCGATAACGCTGGTTTAACTTTCTCGGTCGAGCTCGACCTTTACGCTTCCCTATTTGTTGCGGTATCTCTCCAATACCTCAAAACATCATTAAACCAATGGCAGGAACACAAGCGTATTCTTTCATTCCGTATTTACATGTACAGAACCATGATTAGAACCGTGCAGACATCTTGAGTTTTGATAAAACTTAATAAATCAGTTTCGTTTGCACACGTAAAAGCTACTAGCCATATCTTGCGAGTCATAGTTTATTTAATAGTGATAGTAATAGTCAAAAGTGATGTGAGTGAAAAAAGTATGAAAAAGATGTGATCACTACACATTGCTATTGTTTATGTCTCAACGCCGTCTTCACATTCGCACCACACGTCAACCGGGACTAATTCTGTCGTTCACACCAAGAAAAACGTTTTCCGGGATCAATTCTGCACAATAAATATTAAAATTAGTTTATTGCGGGATCAATTCTGTCTAAAATATTTTTTTTCTAAAAGTCCGGGAACATTTCTACTATTTTTATCGAAATTTTGGTATACGACGTCCATTCTGTAGTTTTTACGGGATCAAAACAATTATCGTCCTTATTTTTTTGTGCGTTCAAGTTTCATACTTCAATTAGTGTCATAGGGAATAAATGTCATTTTCGAACTATGACACTATATCAAATTTTGTTCGCGGTAAGGTAAGTGTAGTTCACAATTCCATGAGACTTTAGAAATCAGTCTGCTTTGTTGTATAAAGCTTGGATTCTTTCCACATAAAATATATGCCAGCAAATTATAGTCATAAGTCAAATGGGAAAATCTTGTAAGATTGAACCGTTTTAGTATCCTTAATAGTTTCTGGAGCTATAAAAGGAAGACCCGCAGTAAAATTGCTTCATGATCTAATGGCTAAAGAAGCGAAGTGAATTTTTATCGTATCAATGAATAAAGGAACGATATCTCAGATGCCTAGTCCTAAAATGAGAATAGTTTGTTAAACTATTTCTTTATTTCTTTTATCGAGAAAATAAAGTTTAAACATAACATATGTACGTTCAAGACAATTAAAAGAGAAAATCATAAATTGGTCGTTAGAATAGAATCAGCCAAAATTATCTTCTGACTCAATGAACAGATCTAGACCATCCGCAATCGGATCAATTTTGGCTAATGCCTGTGCAATTGTTTGGAACAAATGATATGTTTCACTACAGATGTCATCACTACCATTGTATTTGATATATCTTCCTATGTCGTTGTTTTCAATCATACAGATGTCATGATTAATAGGTATTATAAAATTATTGTGTTCTAAATTCAAATGATCGAACGCTTTCCTTGCAAAACTGTCGCTTGGTTCAGGATCATTCTTGAAAGAAACATAAATATAAGTTTTCCTTTCGAAGTAAAACTAATTTCGAATAATGAACACGGTTTTGTCGGAACGATACACCGACATTTCCGCGAAAGACATGAAATCTGAGTGAAGTTATGTGGGGAACAGTCATTATGTGATACAGTTACCGATATATAGTTTCGCATCATGAAAATATATTTGGTGTGAAACTGCTTTTCGAACCCGCTCGCATACTGCCAACATCCCACCTCGCGAGACACTGTCAAAAATACCATGTAAATGTGTACCATGAAAAAGTCGAGATCCTGTTCGCGCAAATGTTGTGTCACGGGTTCTTTACTGCTATAAAAATTCTGATTATACACAAACCAATACTGATAAACAGTGTGCATCTTTATGGTGTGCCGAAGAGAAAACCGATCAAACACGATAAGCAATGAAACTGGATATTTGTAACTGTAACACATAATGACTATTCACCGCATAATTTCACTTAGGTTTCAAAACATGAAATATAATATACAAAACCAGGCTCATTTATTCTTCTTTTCCAATAAATAAGTCACGCATTTAAAACGCGCCCTTTAACCCTTAAACTTGGTCAACGCTCAAGTCTAAATATACCCTTAGAAAGAGCGTGAAAAACTACATCAGAAACAATTATTACTGTTATTCACTATGCTATTTTTGCCTCGGGATGTGGGGGTGTTGGATGTTTTAGGGCTTTAGGCCCAGTTTTCTTTTACTACTAGCACGCAATATCCATGTACACAGTAAAAAATATTGTGTCGCAGTTCCTGTGAGAAAATTGTGTTGCCGTTACTAAGAACTTTCAGACACAGTCCTTGAGGTCATTTCAGGATCTGCTCTCTTCAAAAAATTGCTAAATTTTATGTTTTACTATTTTCAGCAGTCTTCATTAGTATTTTTCTCGGCTTCTTTTCAGTTTTGATGTGCTATAGGTGGCACTAGTACGTAAAAGATAAGAAAATTTTCGAACTTTCTAGGTGTTTCCAATTTCGAATTGGTGTTTTTAGTGGATAAAGATCCCTCTCTTGGTCTTTTTTAACTATTTTCTATGTTAAACATTTTTTCTCTAATGAAAAACAACCAACCAGAGGCCTTGACTACGCCATTACTCCCAGATCTCGAAAACTAAATATTTTGAAGACCCGTGAATATTACCGGCAGATTGAGCTTGTTGACATTACGTAGAGCATCCCAAAATGAACTGAAAATATTCTTAAAATCGAATAAGAGATCGAAAATACTTAATTTCTACTGTTTTCTCTATGGTAGAAATACCCAGCGAAATGTGTCGCAAGTGACTCCCGGTGTCGCAGATGATTGTGTCCCAGAATATGTCGCAATTTGCAACACATGCGACACATTATTTTTTAGTGTGTGCTATAGTCTGTAGTGTTATTTGTCTTTGGACAAATGAAAATATATTTGGTGTTCAAATGAAAACGATGCAAATTGAAACGAGAATCAATCTGAATAAATATCTTTTTGATTCTGTATCTGGAAAAAGAAAATGGGTATCATATTACTATTTGTCAAGAACAGTAATATCATCCACAGAAAGTACACAGAAGAAATATACCCAAACTACTGTTACTTGAAATGTATATTTTTCGCTGAAATTACGACGTAACGAAAGTACTATGACAGCCGCCGCGTACTCTGTTTATGTGAAGCATATCCTGCTTTTATTCTTATTGCGACAACTTTTAACTGTCAGTACTGATAAAGGTTATCCAACCGTTGCTCGTGCTGGCTTTCATCATAATGCTCTTCTATATATCCATCAGTCGTACTCATCACAGCAACTAGCAAAATGGCTAACTGGTTCACTGGAGACTGATGCAAGCAACAGCCGTATTCTTTTTGATGCCATAACAATACTAGCACAATACAGTAGCAGTGGTCACAAAACCGAATATTCAACAAATAAACAAGATTGGTTATCATTTCTTAACATGATATCCGGACCGACAGGGATATTAGCAAATTTGAGTGATGCAATTACTACGCTGAACAATCCGAAAAAAGTTCAAGTGGTGATTATGATGCCGTATCTAAATCCTGTTGACCAACAAGATTTTTCACCAACGTTAAACCTCTCCTCGAGAATTGATCGACAGCAAGTTGTGGAATGGTACATCGATATGGTGAAACAGCAATTTAATTTATCTCTATGCTCCAAGTACGTTCATGAAGAACTACCGCGTTTTACCGTCCCAACCATTCCACCATTATTTCGAGTAGCTTGTCTCGGATGTTCGGTATCCAGAAAGTTTCTCTGCTCCTAATGAAATGTTTATAAAACTACCATTTCGACATTTAGGCGCAGCTGTCTGATGGCGATCCTTCTTCTACACGTATCTTAGATAGATTTTGTAGACAACAGTTAATGTCGTTTAGTAGAAATTGGATCCAAGTTCGCGGTTTCTGTTTATTTATTTAGTCTTCAAGAAAAATCAAGAACGCTACTTTTAAATTATAGACTTTTACAAACTAATTCAGCTTGAGACTTTTTCGCGAAGAAATTATATGTTTCGGATGATAATATATTCTTCTTCCTGCTTTCTTATTTACACAAAATTCGATTAGAGAACTATGAAGTCCAATCAGTTAATTCATAACTTACCAGTCATGAAATGGTATTCTTTGTTCTACTTATTAATTACACCTATAAATGATGTACTATCGGTGACTTATATGATGGGCAAATCAAGAAATGTGCATACTGTCAACGTTCTAGTACTTGAACTTTCTAAGAATTCAATCCTATTGCAAACAGGCTTTCGTCAACATATCCTTCGAAATATTGGAAGTGGAAAGTTGTTACTTTGACTGTTTGCAGGGTATACTTCCCTTACAAAGTCATAAATTTCAATGAAAATAGGAAAAAAAATGAGTGAAAATTGAGGAATCGCTAGGAGAAAGCATTGTGGACATCCGGAATGTTTTAACTGCTTCTCCTCACTATTTTTCACTTTTTGCGGAGCACCACATCTTGCGTCTGTACGTATTTAAAATATAGCCTCTTATCAGAATTTGAATCTATGGGGAATTTATCTCATGAGAGAAGACATTCTGCCGGGAATCAACGAGCAAATAATAACAGACACGGTGGAAATTGTTCATAGTCAAGGACTACGTGTACTTTGGATTCCTTATAAGGGCGCATCCGGTTGGCATAACTGGGCCAAATTTGGCATTGATGTTGCCATTCTACAGCCCGGTTATGCTTTCTCGGCGCCATTGCTCGGAGGAACACTAAATTCTGGTCGCTTGCGCTCAACGGCTAAGCTCGCGTATCAATATGGACTGGGTGTCGAAATTGAGACGAATCAAGGAGCCACCACTGAGTACGAAACATCGTTGTTGCAAGATTATTTGGCGGAAGGTGCTATTGAAGGGTATCAACATGCGCCCACAGCTTACTTTTTAGGTAGTTACGATAGCATCGCCAAGTCCGAGAAAGCATGTAGTTTAATTCGTGACTACACAGCAGGCATTACGATTCCACCGACTTTTTTCAAAACTGTCTGGAACTGGACGATATCAGCACAGAATCCAGTTCTCGAGATTGTAGCAACAGTTCCCTCCAAAATCACACCACGAGGGATCCGTATTGATTGGTCATTGACATCTGAAAACTGGCAAGGGCGGGTTATTGGTGAAGGTTTTTCAAATGACGAATGGGAAACTCTGTGTAGCATTGAAGTTGGAGAAACAATTTGGCAAGATGGGAATTGGACGAGTGCTTCACTTCCTTTCTCACCTTCCATCTCTCCCATCCTAGCACTACGTATAACTTTCATTGGACTCTCTCAACCAGCACTCACGAACGATAATATTTTAATTGAACGTGTACCAAGTGGTTTTGCACCTGAGACTAGCACTGGTGCTTCCTACAGCATTTCGCCTGCGACAACATTTCCAAACATTATTTACGGCGATTCAACACATGAAACACTGCACAAGTTTTCAAGCGGACTGCTAGTCGACGATAGTTGGTCTAGCAAAGGATGGAAAGCTGGTATGTCCATCGGATATACCAGTACATATCATCGGAATCATGTCCGTATTGCGCTTGATATGGGTCAGCTAACGAATGTAGACAGAATCCTCGTCTATACACATGGTGGGACTTATGCAGGGATTAATTGGCCGGATGCAGCTAGTATTCTTCTTAGCAGTGACTGTGTACCGCTATCGCCTCACAGCTCATCTGATTGTAATATCACTAGTCACCCATGCAGTGATCGCATCATTACCGGTTACGAGGAGCATAATGAACTGGATCAAGGCGGCTACTTGTCATTCACCTTTGCAAACAAGCCCTTTATTCGGTGGGCAACGTTAGACGTAGTAGCCACTGGTTGGTTAATGTTAGATGAAATTCAAGTATTTTCTAATGGTAAAACTACTACCGATAAAGTTAAGTATCGTCTCCTCTCATCTCCTTCTCAGCGGACGGACGCTACCGTTTCTTATCCGGATAATGGCATACATTTAACTGACGGACTCTTCACCGGTAGTATGCTTGCACCCACCGGTTGGTTAAAAAATGAATCGCGGACAATCACAATTGATCTGCTCATTCTAAGGCTTATTCGACGAGCAACAATTTGGTCCTTAGACAAGCCATCGTGGGCTGTTAGTCCCCCACAAAGGGTTACAGTTAAGACAAGTGTAGATGGCAATGAGTGGATTGAGTTTGGACTGTTAAAAACTAGCGATCGAATTTATGATGCACAACAGATGATTGTCCACGGAAATGCGTGTAAAGTGAGGTTTGTTCAATTCCACTTTCCGACTGATACAACCTTGCTGTCGTGGTGGACAATGA